CAATGAGATCACTAAAGGCAGATGAAAACTGATTCTGATCAGAAAGATTTAAAAAAAAATGGAACACACACTTGAATGGGGAGTACCCTCTTTCTCTTAGAAATGGAAAAGCGGTAAAAACAACAAAGGAGGAAGCACCACCGGTTCTTAACACCATCATGGGGAGTTTGAGATTTTCAGCAACAGCTTCAGTGAAGGAAAATATGGCATCTGAGATCAGGCAGCAACTGGCTCCCTCAACAATCTGACAACAGCTTAGTTACCAATCGTAAAGGCTCTACACATTTGTGTTAAGCATTGAACAAGAACAGCAAGATCAGTTGTGGAGGCTTCAGATTCAGATAAATTTTCAGGAATAAAATGGAAAGCGAAGTGTGGGTATTTTAAGGGTTCGGAGAGTTGAAGTTGGTGTGTTTATGGTTATGGAGAAGCTTGTGATGGAGAATTTTTGCTAGCTGTAGCATTGGATTTATGTGGCCTTGAAATGGAAAGGAAACAGAACAATCTGCGACCCTTTCTTTGATGCATCTCTGTTGTTGTTTGTTCTCCATGGAGCTTTTTCGCTTGCTTATGAATGCTAGAACTTATTAACTGTTTCTTTACTTAAGGAAGTTACTTTGATCTTTGTTTTTTAGCTAAGTTTTTCTACAGAATTGATAATTATTCTTTGAAACGCGCAAGGTTGCTATTGGTTTGTGTGCATATGAAAAATTGGGTTTGCCCAAAACGGTGTGACCCTTGATCACGAACTAAGCCTAAGCTTCAGTACAGCATTGAACAGGTAGCCCAACTGTTTTATGGGCCTGCCCAACACAGTCAATTGGCATTGGGTTCATTTTTTGACCCGACAGCCATTTAAAAATTAGTTTGGTAATACTTTCCTAGTAGATGAGGGTGGAACCTTGAAGAGATTTCATTTTAGAATAATACTACACATACATCATTCCCATACAATATTTCTTATACAATATTTCAAAGATAGATGCCCAGATGTTTACAGTTACCCTAAGGTGATGCAACAAGCACATTTCTTGCCCTAGTGGGACTAACTATAAGGTTGTATTTTGCCCTTGAAGCATTTGAAGGGCGAAATGAAAATAATTAAACTACACTTACCAATGGAATAGGCCTTAAATTAGTCTTTATAAATCAGCACATATGCTCACCTTTTCTGGGTGTTGAAATTAGTAAATTGTTTATCAAGGTGAAATCCATGAATTTCATTAATAAACTTCTTTCATTTTTAATTGTGTTGAGTAGCATTATATTTTGTAGATTTTCTTTTCTCTTTGTGTCATCTATATTATCTATCCATCATGCATCAAGCAATTAACAGTACTGTTTCTGTTATTTCTTGTCTCGTTACCATTAATATTAACGGCCAGATCCTGTAGGTAATTGAAGTCATCAAACATGCTCATCTACTAAACTGAACTTATCGACTCCAACCTCAGTATTTTACTTTTCTTGTTGACTATCAAAAAAGAGAATTAAAAGTCTCAAACTTGTCAGTTGGCAATTCTTTTTGTTGATCATATCCGCAATTTCCTCATGGGATTGGAATTTTCTTATGACTCCTAACTTATTGTTGAAAACTATATAAAAATAATTAAAAGTAACGACGTATTATGTTAGTCATATATATTAATATTAATATATCTGTCATAATATAGATTAGAGTTGAATATAATAGGGGTGCGTTTGGTTTATTATTTTGGGTAAGATTTTAGAAATAGTATTAGATAGTTGGATAGGGGAATATTACAAGATAAAATTTAAAAATTTATGAAAAGCCCCCAGGTTTGCTAATTTAATAAACACCCCAAATATTAAAATTATAAAATACAAAACACCCCTATCACCCGCAATGCCAGATTCCGCCACCACCGCCGGAATCTGCCGAAAAATTGGATAACCACACATACCTGTCGGATTTGGCGGGTATTCGATCGATATGGCCTTTTCCGGCCATATCCACCACTGATCTAGCCGGAAAAGGTGAGATCTAAGGCCGGATGTGGCCTTCGACGGCCGGAAAAGGCCATCTTTGGCCGTCAGCGACGGCCAAGATATGGCCGTTGTTATTGTCAATGATGGCCAAGATTTGGCCGTCGTTGATAGTCAACAACGGCCATTTCTTTGGCCGACGCTGACGGCCAGATCTAGCCTTTTCTGGTGGTGGTGTGACTGTTGTGACAGATTTCGACTACCACCGACGGTGGTTGCCGAAATCTGGCAAGTATTGGTGGATAGGGGTGTTTTTGTTAGTTTTTAAACTTTTTTGTGGGGTATTTAATAAAATTAATAAACTTATGGGGTCTAAAAATGTTGTTCAAATGGGACTATGTCCCGCTTTGTCACTATGAGAGGTAATACTTTTATTGTCTGAAACTTTGTAATTTAGTTTATTTTCTCTTTTAAGTTGTATACATTTTGGTTGGAGACAAGCAAACATTCTAGAGGACCTAGAACAAACATTTGATGGTTGTTCATAAAGTGATATTCCACATTTAAGCGTTTATTTAGAAAGAGAAAAATTGCATTGTAATACATGGAAGGTAATACTTGTTTAAAATGGACTTACCGCTATGATTCATGTAATTTCCCCTTTCTAATTGAACATACCGCATATACATCTCTTGTGTTCTGGATTATATTATACATGTTTGGACCAAGTGGGAGAATGTTAGACTTTTTGCAATATGGTCCTACACTTTTCATATAATTATATTTTGGTCCTTACTGATGTGGTCATACGGTTGTGTCTCTTGAGCAGTTGTCTTTGATGGAAAGACAACTGCATATAATAAGGAGACTTTACAGGTCCCCATGTGACGTAGTTTTTATTGTAGTTTCAAAATCATCACTCTAAAATTGCAATCAGTGGAAGATCTTGTAATTTTTGAAGGAGCAAGAAGATTAAACAACAATTGCTATGGCTAGAGGTTTGTCATTTACTTCCGCATATATTCCATGGAGATTTTATATTGAAATTGATTGTATTATCACTTTTATATGAATATTGGAGTATGAATGTATTTTACATGAAATGGAAAAGGAAACAGAACCAATCTGCGACCCTTTCTTTGATGCATCTCTGTGTTGGTTTGGTTCTCCATGGAGCTTTTTCTGCTTATGAATGCTAGAACTTTGATATTTAGGCCAGTTACACTCCCCGTCAATTTAGCTTTGATCGAATATGATACTGTTGCGTTTCATTTCATCACATGCATGCACTCTCATTTACCGAGTATAAATGTATAATATGAAGCATCCACGAAACATGAAACTTATTAACTGTTTCTTTACTTTAAGGAAGTACATTGATTTTTGTTTTTTAGCTAAGTTTTTCTACAGAATTGATAATTAATTCTTTGAAAGTCGCAAGGTTGCTATTGGTTTGTGTGCATATGAGAAAATTGGGTTTGCCCAAGATTATGTGAAAGTCGCCAGCCTTGGGTGGAAACATGTCCTTACTTCGCCACTGGATGACTTTTTGATGCATGAATGAGCCTTACACTACCAATAAAATCAATCTATTAATCATATGTATTTAAATTGTGGTGTCCGTCATCTCATTGTTTAGTTTCTAAACAGCTAGAAAGCACTTGATATTCCAACATATAGTTGATTTCCCACAGCTAAATTAGCCAGTGGATGAACTTTTGATGCATGAAATTAATTTGTTCACTATCTTGACTTATACTTTTCAAGTAAACGACATTAATTAATTTGTTTGGCAGTGGATGACTTTTTGATGCGTGAATGAGCCTTACACTACCAATAAAATATCTATTAATTATATGTATTTAAATTGTGGTGTGGGTCATCTCATGGTTTAGTTTCTAACTAGATAAGTAGATAGTACATGATATTCCAACATATGGTTGATTTCCCACAGCTACAGCTAAGTTAGCCAGTGGATGACTTTTTGATTTATGAACTTAATTTGTCCACTATCTTGACTTATACTTTTCAAGTAAACGACATTAATTAATATATCATCTAACAAATTCCAATAACGTACTCCAATTTCCGGTTTCTATCTAAACTCACCTTCACCTTCACAAACACCACTCAGAGTCACAAATCAATAGTCTTTCCAAAATGAAGTTCTTGCATATCCTCTCCATTTCTTCATTCCTTCTAATTACCCTTTCCATCACCTTGGCCAATGCGGCCTCTTTTGCTATCACAAACTGAAAGTTTTGTGAAGCCAAAAAACGGAGCCGTTTCACTTGAGTCAAAACGGGGTCGTTTTGTTTAAAGCCATTACCAAGTTTCAGCCATCAGATCAAGACAGATCCAAGGGCTGAGAACTGCTGATGACTTAGTATATAAAGAAGCCCAACAGTGACACTTACAAGAACGCGTATTTTGTTATTCAGAGATTTAGGGTTAACAAAAAGGGATACACTCGGGCTAGGGTTTTTCACCAAGCACTCAAAAAAGAATTTGTTTATCTTTTTCTTACTAGTACTTTCAGAATTTCAAATACAACTCATAGTTATGTATTACAATCCTCAGCTAGATCTCTTATAATTACCTTTTTATAGTATTTTTTTAAGTACGGGCTAGATTATATTAAAAAGATTACCCAACTGTATGATTTGAGAATTTGCCCTTTCAATGAATTCTGGCTAGCATAAGCTTTAGTATTATGCATGCCTAGACTAGTTAAAATTAAGGTTGATATAAATGAGTATGAGATGAAAAGTGTCATGGCTGTTATAGTTGACATCAACTGAAGGAGATGGCCACAATTTTCATCCTCTTGCGTGTATAAATTGAAATTCCACTGAGGTTATAGGACTGTCCACATGCAATGCATTGATGAAAGTATGCCTGCTCTGTTCTTCACATATTTTCAGAATTTAAAGCGGGATAGTTGGATGCATTGATAGCAGTGATGAGCCCACTGATGTCATCAATGGGACCAAAGCCACAGATGTGATTAAAAAATCTCATCAGCTGCACCCATCTAAGTTCATGGGGGACTATCACAAATAGGCAAACTGCATTTCGCAAAGGGAGACAGGTTTTTCAACTTTCTCATAGAACTTTTCTGGTACTGTTGATACTAGGCATGAACTGATATCTTGAAGGAAACTATGTTTTGGTATCATTCCATACTTGGCCAATGGATGCTTCTTCTTGATATAAGTTTCCACAAATTTTGATATTCCCCATCTCTGTAATTGCATGCTATGTAAGTTAGACCCTTAAAAGATAAATTCTTCTCAATGTAGTTTAAAAGGACAAATAGACCCAACAAAGAAATGCTACCAGTGGTGAAAGCAATGTTGCCAAGAGACTTAGCAGGATCCCTTCTCCAGGCTTATGAAGCAAAAGCTCTGAGAACCTATTAAGATAAAGAAATGCCATAGGTAACCCCCAAGGAAGGTGATCAGGTACATTCCAATGTTCAGTCTTGTATAAAATTGTACATGGAATTTTCACCCCTGGAATTCAGATCAGGAAGATTAGTGCAATAAATTGGAACATGTAGATAATTTGTATATAACTGCTTTCGTTTTGGATGGCAGTTTGAGTCAAGATTAATTTGTCTTACCATTGGCTGCTGAGCACTCCATTGCAATATCCAATGCAGATTTCTGGAACCCAACAACAGTAACCCGCTTCCCTTTGACAAATTTGGCTGCACTTTCATAATCCATGGCGGCATAGTCCATGGAATGTATCACCTTGCCATGAAATGCTTCTGGACCCTTGCTTGGAGGAAATTCCGGGATGTTTGGAACACCACTTAATCTCCCCACACACAGAATCACAAAGTCCACTTGGTAAACCTAACTTAATTTGTTAGACCATGATTGAACATTAGTATTAGATTCTTTAAAAATAATTGCATATAAAAGCCATTGATGATGTAAACATTTGAACTAATCCTAAAGAAATGAAAAATATGAATACCTCTGTTGAATTGTTTTGTAAGTCCTCTACCATGACCTTCCATTTCCCTTGAGGGCTAAAGGGCAAACCATTGCCATTCCACAAACTCCAGGACTGCATCTCGTCATCGGAAGAGCCTTCAAATTCAATGGAAACAACCTTGGAATCGAATTTGATATGCTTAACCAAGTCTAATTGGTGTGCATAAGATTGAACATAATCCAAAACGTGATGTTGGTCAGGAAACTCCTCAGTTGACGAAGATGGCCAGGGAAAATCCGAGAACTGATACAATGATTTCGGAGTCTGTAGCTTTGTGGTCTCGAAAGTTTTAGTCCACGCTCCTCCAATGCAACTTTGAGACTCAAAAACAAGGGGTTTGAAACCCTTTGACAGGCAGTACTTACAGGCAATAAGTCCACTAATACCAGCTCCAACAATGGCGATTTGTTCCCCCATTGGTTAATGTTATCAGATACTTTTGGAGCCTCGTCTCCTTTATCTGTAGCTTAAATAGGGGAGTTTTCAAGTGGACCAACAAGGAAAAAGATAAGAGAGAAGAAGGACTTGTATATTTCATATGCATTCAACAAGATATAACAAACTTTATACATTGTAGACCTATTGTTGTACCTAACATAAAATATATTTTAATCCAAAATAACATCTTAATCAGTGGTGGGTCTAGAAAATTTTGTTTGGGTGGATCAAAATAAAAACTAATTACATATTAATATTTTTACCTTATTAATATTTTTGTTAGGGTGGGCTAAAATCTAAAAATTATATATATTAATATTTAAAAAAAAAATTGAGAGTGGGCCAAAAGTGGGCTGGATCCGCCGCTGATCTTAACCATACATCCTTAGCAACTCTAATTACATATTATTGTTAAACGGTCAATGCATCTTGTTCTAGGTCCTGAAAGGAGTTCCATATCAATCTTGAAGACATCTTGATCTGAAAAATCATGTTAAGCTTCTCCAGAATACGTGTTCTAATTATAGGAATGTCTTTCACTCTCAATGGATGAAAATCTGGAACTGGTGCTTCTGATTGTGAATCTGGGGATAAAAAATTTCTAAACCTAAATTAAAAATCAAAATCAAAATAATAGTTTATGAACTCATTCCAATGAAATTATCCAGACCAGCATTAATCCTTAACTCAAGACTCGAAACAAGCCAGTATAGACGAATCCAAGCTTCAAATTTTTTTAAATCTTTTCTTACTAGTAACTTTCAGAATTTCAAATAACAACCATAGTTATGTATTACAATCCTCAGCTAGATCTCTTATAATTACCTTTTTATAGTATTTTTAGATACGGGCTGGATTTATATTAAAAGATACCCAACTGTATGATTTGAGAATTGCCTTTCAATGAATTTTGGCTAGCATAAGCATAGTATATGCATGCCTCACACTAGTAAAATTAAGTTGATATAAATGAGTATGAGATGACAAAGTGTCATGGCTGTTTATAGTTGACAACTCACTGAAGGAGATGGCCACAATTTTCATCCTCTTGCGTGTATAAATTGAAATTCCACTGAGGTTATAGGACTGTCCACATGCAAGCATTGATGAAGTAGGCCTGCTCTGTTCTTCCACATATTTCAGAATTTAAAGCGGATGGTTGATACATTGATAGCAGTGATAGCCACTGATGTCATCAATTGGGACCAAAGCCACAGATGTGATTAAAAATCTGCATCAGTGCACCATCTAGTCTGACTATCAAATTAGCAACTCTTTGAAAGAAATTAGTTTAGTATTGAGAATAGATATTAGTTTAAATTTTCAGCACAAAAATCCCAAATAAAAACCTCTTCCCAATATGTATTCACTAAATCAGCTAGATAGGAGTCATTATTGGAAAACAGTAACTCAGTTTTGATCAATAACGCTTTAGATGCTAACATTTGCATTGAAAGGACTTAATGAAGTTGAAAGTGAATGTTTCTATTGATAAAATGTGGCTAACCAAGCTGTCCAGGGATTCACTTGAAGAACCACCCTGCCTCAAGCAAATATTTGCCTTCCTTTAAGCACAAAATTCTGCCTCTGATTTCTTCTCCTTCTTTATCCACCATTAGTCTTCTAATTGCCTCTCAATCTTTTCTCTATCAAACCATTCTCAGTTGCACCCCAACTTTCCAACATCACTTACATATCTTGCATTGCTCTTTGGTCAGTGAAACAAGGCATACAAATCATGGAACACCTTCACAAATGCTCTCCATGTTGAATTCCACCCATTATGAGTCCAAAATGCTCCAACAGCAGGGTGGGCCGCACCTCTTGTTGTGGAGCCCATTTCACAATATGTCCCCTCCATCAATCATTTCCAGGAACCCACTTGGTAATGGTTCAAGCCACTCCGAACATTGGTCAATCCGGTCGAACCACCCACAAAATGGTTGCTTGCTATTGGCTAGCCCCCAGGCTATTTCCAAAAATTCATTTTCTTTGATTGCAGCAAGACTTCCAAAGCTCACATAAATTACTGACTTGGGTGATTGTTTCTCTAGCCAAGAAATGCAGCTTTGATCTTGTGTCAACAAGCTACTTGAAGAGGCTGGAAAGCAGTGTTAAATGGGCCTATTGAACATAGGGACGAAAATTGTTGGCCAAGATTTGCCAATGCTGATTCCTCAAGATCTTCAAATGTATTCCAATCTCCTGAAGAGGCCTTGGCTCCATCAACCATGCCATTTATTAATTCAATATGTTTCTGGAGATCGCGAGTTGATCGTTGAAGGTCTTTTACCTTGAGAGGTGGAAGCTCTACCACTGGTTCTTCTAATTTAGAATCTGATAAAGAAAAATTAACGAACAAGCCACACATGAGAGCCAGTTTTGGCAATACAATCAATGAGATCACTAAATGCAGACGAAAACTGATTCTTGATCAGAAAGATTTAAAAAAAAAAAAATGGAACACACACCTTGAATGGGGAGATACCCTTTTCTCTTAGAAATGGAAAAGCGGTAAAAACAACAAAGGAGGAAGCACCACCGTTCTTACACCATCATGGGGAGTTTGAGATTTTCAGCAACAGCTTGAGTGAAGGAAAATATGGCTCTGAGATCAGCGGCAACGGGCTCCTCCTCAACATCTGACAACAACTTAGTTAAGCAATCTGAAAAGGCTCTACACATTTTGTGTCAAGCAGTTGAACAAGAACAGCAAGATCAGTTGTGGAGGCTTCAGATTCAGATAAATTTTCGAAATAAAGTGAAAAGTGAAGTGTGGTAGTTTGAAGGGTTCGGAGATTTGAAGTTGGTGTTCATTATGGTTATGGAGAAGCCTTGTGAATGGAGAATGTTTCCTAGCTGTAGCATTGGATTGATGTGGCCTTGAAATGGAAGAGGAAACAGAACCAATCTGCGACCCTTTCTTTGATGCATCTCTGTGTTGGTTTGGTTCTCCATGGAGCTTTTTCTACTTATGAATGCTAGAACTTTGATATTTATGCTAGTTACACTCACCGTCAATTTAGCTTTGATCGAATATGATACTGTTGCCTTTCATTTCATCACATGCATGCACTGTCATTTATCGAGTATAATATGAAGCATCCACGAAACACGAAACTTATTAACTGTTTCTTTACTTTAAGGGAGTACTTTGATCTTTGTTTTTCAGCTAAGTTTTTCTAGAGAATTGATAATTAATTCTTTGAAACTCGCAAGGTTGCTATTGGTTTGTGTGCATATTTTCCCAGCATCCAAACAACTCTACAAACTATCTCATTTGCAAATTTTCTTTGTTGACTTACACTTTTCAAGTAAACGACATTAATTAATTTGTTCGGCAGTGGATGACTTTTTGATAATGACCCTTACACTACCAATAAAATCAATCTATTAATTATATGTATTTAAACTGTGGTGTCGGCCATCTCATAGTTTAGTTTCTAAATTCTAACTAGCTAGAAAGTCCTGAGCCCATAGGACTTGTTCGGGTCCTAAAAATACTGATGGGCTTAGGATCGGTGTCAGACCCATGAACGGCTGGTCTCAAACGAGATCAATCCCAAACGGAACCAGTCCCAAAAGGATTAGACCTGGCCCACTTGGGACTGGTCCTTGACCAGTTCTATGGAAACATGTCCTTACTCTTGGATTACGGGAGACTTTGCCAGTGGATGACTTTTTGATGCATGAATGAGCCTTACACTACCAATAAAATCAATCTATTAATTATATGTATTTAAATTGTGGTGTGGGTCATCCCATAGTTTAGTTTCTATACAGCTAGAAAGCACTTGATATTCCAACATATAGTTGATTTCCCACAGCTAAATTAGCCAGTGGATGAACTTTTGATGCATGAAATTAATTCGTTCACTATCTTGACTTATACTTTTCAAGTAAACGACATTAATTAATTTGTTCGGCAGTGGATGACTTTTTGATGCGTGAATGAGCCTTACACTACCAATGTAATCAATCTATTAATTATATGTAATTAAATTGTGTTGTCAGCCATCTCATAGTTTAGTTTCTAAACAGCTAGGAAGTACTTGATATTGCAACATATGGTTGATTTCCCACAGCTAAATTAGCCTGTGGATGACTTTTTGATGCATGAAATCAATTTGTTCACTATCTTGACTTATACTTTTCAAGTAAACGACATTAATTAATATATCATCTAACAAATTCCAATGACGTAGTCCGATTTCCGGTTTCTATATAAACTCACCTTCACAAACACCACTCAGAGTCACAAATCAATAATCTTTCCAAAATGAAGTTCTTGAATATCCTCTCCGTTTCTTCATTCCTTCTAATTACCCTTTCCATCACCTTGGCCAATGCGGCCTCTTTTGCTATCACAAACAATTGTCATTACACTGTCTGGGCCGCTGCTGTGCCCGGTGGTGGTAAACAACTTGGCCATGGTCAAACATGGACCATCACTGCCAAACCTGGCACCACAGCAGCCCGCATTTGGGCCCGAACCAATTGCCATTTTGATGGTAATGGAAAGGGCAAGTGTGAAACGGGTGATTGTAATGGGCTCCTCGAATGCCAAGGATATGGTGCACCACCAAACACATTGGCTGAGTACGCTTTGAAGCAATACATGGACAGGGACTTTATCGACATGTCTAATATTGATGGGTTTAATGTTCCAATGGAGTTTAGTTCAGTCTCAAGTGGATGCAACCGCGTTATCAAATGCACGGCGGATATCATCGGTCAATGCCCGAATCAGTTGAAGGTTCGTGGAGGATGTAATGGTCCGTGTCCTGTTTTCAAGACTGAGGAGCACTGTTGCAATTCTGGAAAATGTGGACCTACAACTTTCTCCAAGTATTTCAAAAATAAATGCCCAGATGTTTACAGTTACCCTAAGGATGATGCAACAAGCCTATTTACTTGCCCTAGTGGGACTAACTATAAGGTTGTATTTTGCCCTTAAAGCATTTGAAGGGCGAAATGAAAATAATTAAACTACACTTATCAATGGAATAAGGCCTTAAATTAGTCTTTATAAATCAGCACATATGCTCACCTTTTCTGGGTGTTGAAATTAATAAATGTTTTATGAAAGGTGAAATCCATGAATTTCATTAATAGACTTCTTATCTTTTTTTAATTGTGTTGAGTACTTGAGTAGCATTAGATTTTGTAGATTTCTTTTTCTCTTTTGTTTAGCGTGCATCTATATTAATCTATTCATGGAGCTTTTTCTGCTCATGAATGCTAGAACTTTGATATTTATGCTAGTTACATTCACCGTCAATTTAGCTTTGATCGAATATGATACTGTTGCGTTTCATTTCATCACATGCATGCACTCTCATTTATCGAGTATAATATGAAGCATCCATGAAACACGATACTTATTAACTGTTTCTTTACTCACAAATTTTCATTAGATATATCTTCGAGAAAGGTCACCAATCTTTTTCAATCTTTTCGCTACCAGATAATTCTTCATCTTCCTGAACCATCATGAATTGCCTCAAATATTCTCTCACAGTACCATTTACCATCTCTATAAATGTACTTCAGCTTCCTCAACCCCACCAGACCAAATAACTAAGGAATTCATTTTCCCAGCATCCAAACAACTCAACAAACTATCTCATTTGCAAACTTTCTCTCTTTAAGAAAAACACAACAATGTCTCTGATTCCAAACAACTTCTTCGGCCGAAGAACCAACATCTTCGACCCACTCTCTCTTGATATATGGGATCCATTTCAAGACTTTCCCTTCTCAAACCTCTCAATCTCTTCAGTTCCTCGCTTCGAACTCTCCAACGAGACGGCTGCGTTTGCCAAAGCTCGCATAGACTGGAAAGAGACCCCGAAAACCCACGTTTTCAAGGCTGATCTGCCAGGCCTCAAGAAAGAAGAAGTGAAGGTCGAGATTGAAGAAAGCCATGTCTTGCAAATAAGCGGGGAGAGAAAGAAAGAACTGGAAGAGAAGAATGACACTTGGCATCGTGTTGATAGAAGCAGTGGTCAGTTCTTGAGGAGGTTCAGGTTACCAGAAAATGCCAAGACCGATCAAGTTAAGGCTTCCATGGAAAATGGAGTCGTGACTGTGACTGTGCCTAAATCAAACAATTAAAGCAACTTCACAATCAAACAAACCAAACTTCTCCAAACTCGCGGTGGGGACGGTGGCTAAGGTGGGGGCTGAAATAAGTAGTGGATCCAGGAATTTTTTTTAGGGTGGGCCAAAATAAAAATTTATTATACATTACTATTTTTGTCTATTAATATTTTTGAAATTTATTATACATTACTATTTTTGTCTATTAATATTTTTGTTAGGGTGGGCCAAAATATATAAATTATGCATATTAATATTTTTTTAAAAAAAATTTGAGGGTGGGCCGTGGCCCACCGAAAAAGTGGCTGGATCTGCCACTGGCTAAAATGTTGAAGGGTGTTGGGTGATGGTTGAGGGGGAGTCAGGCTTGTGTGTGGGTGATGGTGAAGGATGCCAGGTGATGGTAGGTGAATTCACGGGAAGAGGGTGAGGTTTTGGTGCTGGATGGACAAGGGTGTTGTGTGTTGATGCTTGATTTTGACACTAACAACTCGTATGTGCAAAATGCTAAACAAATTTAGAAACTACACGTGATAGGAAAATATAAAACGAGAGAATAAATTGGAAGTAATTTTTAAAGTAGATCGGATACTTAAAAGCGAATCCTGCGTCCACTGCTCTTGTATTAATAGATAGATACAATCAGGTCGCGTATGGCGAGCTGAGTTACAATTTAAAGAGAATGTGTGTAAGCTGTTTTAAACTAAGATCAGTCAATTCTTTAAATGAGAGGAGTGTCCTCTATTTATAGGGGGAGAGTTCAAGGTAATAATTACGAGTCTGCAAGTGGGTAGCTGTTGTGCAAGTCCTTCCTTGCATCCCATTGGTCACTGCACGAGAAATATCCTCAAATTGCATAGGGCTTGGGCAGGTGAATAACCCCTGGCCACTCGTAAGCCTGGCATTCATATACTACGCTGACAAGAACCATACCTCTCCCATCACTGCGGGACGTGAAAGTGTCTGGACGACACAAAACCTTCTTAAATCGTGATTGACTCTTATAACAGAAGTCCCCAAGTTTTTAAGGTTTAAGGATTGAACCTTGAGAACTTCATAATTATATCGCGACTTGACTTGTCTCGAATGACATTTAGTCCAGCTGACTGAGCTGTAAGGAGGTCATAGCATAGGTCTTGAACCTGCGTCCAAGCTCCCCGATGGTATGGTCAGATCGCAGATAGCACGCATCAGAGTTCCCTGATGACGTGGTCAGATCGTAGATCGCACGCATTAGAGCCTTGCGATCGCGTGGTCAGATCACACGCATCAGAGTTCTCTGATCGCGTGGTCAAATCGCAGATTGCACATGTCAAAGTTCCCCAATGGCGTGGTCAAATCGCACGCATCAGAGTTCTTAGATCCCTTTGTCAGATCACAGATCGCACGCATTAGAGTTTCCTGATGGGGTGGTTAGATCGCAAATTGCTGCATCAAAGCTCTCATATCGCATGCCCATATCATAGATCGCAAACATCAGAGTTCTCAAATCGCGTGCTCAGATCTAAGATTGCACGCATCAGAGTTCCGCAATGGCATGATTAGTTCGCAGATCGCATGCATCAGAGCTCGCATATCACGTGGCTAGATCGCACGCATTAGAGTTCCCTGATGGCATGATCAGATCGCAGATCACACACATCAGAGCTCTCACATCGCGTGGCCAGATCGCACGCATCAAAGATCTCTGATCTCATGGCCAGATCGCAGATCGCACGCATCAGAGTTCTCCAATCGTATGGCCAGATCGTAGATTGCACGCATCAGAGTTCTCCGATTGCATGGTCAGATCGCATGCATCAGAGCTCCCCTTCTAGCGCCAAACTATTGATTCTTGATTTTGGCACCAACGACTCGCACGTGCAAAGTACTAAGCAGACTTAAAAAGTACATGTGATAGGAAAATATGAAACGAGAGAATAAATGGGAAGCAAATTTTGAAGTGGTTCGAATGCTCAAAAGTGAATCCTACGTCCACTGCTATTTTATTAATAGATAGGTACAGTCAGGTCGTGTGTGGTGAGTTGAGTTACAATCTAGAGAGAATATGTGTAAGCTGTTTTAAACTAAGATTAGTCAATCCCGTAAATAAGAGGGGTGTCCTCTATTTATAGTGGGAGAGTTCAATGTAATGATTATGAGTCTGCAAGTGGGTAACTATCATGCAAGTCCTTCCTTGCATCTCATTGGTTATCTGCACAAGAAATATCCTCAAATTGTGTAGGGCTTGATCAGGTGAATAACCCCTGGCCACTCGCAAGCCTAACATTCATCTGCTGCGCTGACAAGAACCACATCTCTCCCGTCACTACGTGACATGACAGCGCCTGGACGGCACAAAACCTTCTTGAATCCTAATTGGCTCTTGCTAACGAGAGTCCATGTCAACCCTAACTTTTTAAGCATAACACTGTGTGTGGTGTTGGGGAAGGTCGTCGGCTTTGGAAAATTGCCAAATCGACCTAAAAAAGAAGTTGTGTGGCCTGAAAGGATTTCGAGAATGGCCAAAATCTAGGAGTTCAAAAGTAATTTTAATTTATTTTTCAAGGGTAGTTTGATAATAACACTACCGATATTATACCATAACTCAAAAGTCATAAACATATTAATTTAAAGATTGACAATCTGGAATTTATGAGATTTCGCTAAACCTTGGGTGGAAAGATATCCCTTACTCTTGGATTATGTGAAAGTTGCCAGCCTTGGGTGGAAACATGTCCTTACTCTTGGATTATGGGAGCTTCGCCAGTTGATGACTTTTTGAGGATGAATGAGCCTTACACTACCAATAAAATCAATCTATTAATTATATGTACTTAAATTGTGGTGTCCGTCATCTCATTGTTTGGTTTCTAAACAGCTAGAAAGCACTTGATATTCCAACATATAGTTGATTTCCCACACCTAAATTAGCCAGTGGATGAACTTTTGATGCATGAAATTAATTTGTTCACTATCTTGACTTATACTTTTCAAGTAAACAACATTAATTAATTTGTTCGGCAGTGGATGACTTTTTGATGCGTGAATGAGCCGTACACTGCCAATAAAATATTTATTAATTTTATGTATTTAAATTGTGGTGTGGGTCATCTCATAGTTTAGTTTCTAACTAGAAAGTACATGATATTTCAACATATGGTTGATTTCCCACAACTAAATTAGCCAGTGGATGACTTTTTGATGCATGAACTTAATTTGTTCACTATCTTGACTTATACTTTTCAAGTAAACGACATTAATTAACACATCATCTAACAAATTACAATGATGTAGTCTGATTTTCGGTTTCTATATAAACTCGCCTTCACAAACACCATTCAGAGTCACAAATCAATAAGCTTTCCAAAATGAAGTTCTTGCATATCCTCTCCGTTTCTTCATTCCTTCTAATTACCCTTTCCATCACCTTGGCCAATGCGACCTCTTTTGATATCACAAACAATTGCCAGTACACTGTCTGGGCCGCTGCTAAGCCTGGTGGTGGTAGACAACTTGATCATGGTCAAACATGGACCATCACTGCAGACCCTGGCACCACTGAAGCCCGCATTTGGGCCCGAACCAATTGCCAGTTTGATGCTAATGGAAAGGGCAAGTGTGAAACGGGTGATTGTAACGGGCTTCTCAACTGCGAAGGATATGGTGCACCACCAAACACATTGGCTGAGTATGCTTTGAAGCAGTACATGGACATGGACTTTATTGACATGTCTAATATTGATGGGTTTAATGTTCCAATGGAGTTTAGTTCAGTCTCAGCTGGATGCAACCGCGTGATCAAATGCACAGCTGATATCATCGGTCAGTGCCCGAATGAGCTGAAGGTTCCTGGAGGATGTAACGGGCCATGTCCTGTTTTCAAGACTGAGGAGCACTGCTGCAATTCTGGCAGCTGTGGACCTACAACTTACTCCAAGTATTTCAAAGATAGATGCCCAGATGTTTACAGTTACCCTAAGGATGATGCAACAAGCACATTTACTTGCCCTAGTGGGACTAACTATAAGGTTGTATTTTGCCCTTGAAGCATTTGAAGGGCAAAATGAAAATAATTAAACTACACTTATCAATGGAATAAGGCCTTAAATTAGTCTTTATAATAAAGCACATATGATCACCTTTTTCTGGGTGTTGAAATTAATAAATGTTTTATCAAAGGTGAAATCCATGAATTTCATTAATAAACTTCTTATCATTTTTAATTGTGTTGAGTAGCATTATATTTTGTAGATTTCCTTTTCTCTTTGTGCATCTATATTAATCTATCCATCATGCATCAACGAATTAACAGTACTGTTTCTATTATTTCTTGTCTCGTTAGCCATTAATATTAACCGGCAGATCCTGTAGGTAATTGAAGTCATCAAATATTAACATGCTCATCTACCAAACTTAAACTTATCCACTCCAAACCTCAGTATCAATCAATCACAGCCACTAGTATTTAATTTTTTTTCCATAACGTTTACTTTTCTTCTTGTTTTTTTCCATAAGAAAATTCCAATCCCATGAGGAAATTGCGGACATGATCAATAAAAATAAGAGAATTAAAAGTCCCAAACTTGTCAGCTGGCAATTCATTTTTGTTGATCATATCCGCAATTTCCTCATGGGATTGGAATTTTCTTATGACTCCATAAGTCATTGTTGGAAACTATTAATAAAAAATAATTAAAAGGTAACAACGTATTATGTTGGTCATATATATATTAATATTAATATATCTGTCATAATATAGATTAGAGTTGATATATAATATTATTATAATTGATATATAATAAAGAAAAATGCTATCCTTATAAAGACTCATATAAAGAGGGTCACAAAGTGACATCATCCAGAAGAAAAAACGGAAAAAGAGAAAGAGAAAGAGAGAGAGAGAGAAATTATGAAAATCAAGGGTGAAGATTATCTTTGTATGCCCCATTTGTATGTGTCTTTGTAAAACTAGCATTGTTGTATAATAAATATCACTTCAATTTCACACCTCAGATTTTATAAGAAGTTGCAGAGGTGGAGCTAGGGGAGGTTCCCTCTAGAATTCTAAAAAGATAAAAATAAAAATTTGAAAAAATTTACTAATAAAATTTGATTGGTCAATAATCTTTTTATGTATATTTAGCCCTCCCAAAAAATAATATCTTGTTAACTCTATCAAATTACTTTCGTAGCTTTTGATAGGGACACCAATTATTTTTCAATGCACTGAAATTTTCTAATGGCAGATATGTTACTAGTAGGAAATAAAAATGAGTAAACATGATCTCCAGAGACTTTGGTTATAAAATCAGATTACATTATACAATAGGTCCATTAAAAAATTCATTCTCAGACCTACACAGCTGCCGCGCCTCGTGGGCAGTAGCAGAGCTAGGATTTTTGCCGAGGGGCTCTCCACGGCTTCATCATTGTTTGCCAAACAATTGCGGAAAATTTTTAAAAAATCATCAAACCTTAGGTAAAACTTTGAGCAAATGTATTGAAAATAACATCCAATTAACAACGAAACACAATTTTTGTTAGAATTTTATTTAATCTCTTAAAATAATTGGATATCATAGCTATCAAATAAAAAAAGATAGTATAATATTTATAAAGAAAGACTAATGAAACTTTAATTAATAAAATTATAAAAACTGACTTATTACATTTTTTGATGTAACAATTAGATCTAATTAAAAGATTATTTTAGTAATTAATTAATCATTTTATTGTGTTAATTTTCTTATATTTAAAATCATTTTAGTGAACTTAAATAATTTACTAATCAATTTTCCAACATTTAAATTATTGGCATAGATCAACTAGATTTAATTTAATTATTATTAGAATATACTTAACCAACTAATTACTTTATAAAATAATAAAAATATCATTATTAGTATATTAATGATTGGTACAAATCAAGTTGTCCTTTAATAAATAAAAAATTAATTTTATAAATGTATTTGTTATATCTAAAGTCAAATTGATAATAATATTTTCAATCAATTACAAAATCAAACAAAACTCATAAGATTCATATTTTTCTTCATTAGAATAAAAAACCTAAAAAAATAAAGAATAAACATAATTCAACCTTAAAATAAACTAAATTAAAATAAATAATATATATTACATAAAACTAATAAAACGGAAAATAGTTTACATCTTGAATACTAAAAGGTTGAACAATTTGGATCTTAAAAAGTTAACTCCAACCGAGGGACTGTAGACGTAAAAATCTACCTATACGAATGGGGGTTTAATCCCGTGAGGTTGAGGCCACTAGCGATCCGCTGCACCTGCACACGTAGAGAACCACACGCGTGAAGCAAACGGGAAACACCGGGGTGGTGTTTGCCGTAGGCACTCCGACGCTCAAGTCAACAAGGCTGTGAGAGGCTAATATAGTGAGGGTTAGGGAGTAGAGGTTACCGGAAGTCTAGTTGGGGACTGTGACTATGGCGGTGATGTGAAGCTCTCAAGTCAGAGCTTTCAGTGTGAAGGTATAATGTCATCTGTCCTTTGTGAGAGGGTTGGCCTCTGCTTATATAGTGGTCGTCTGTTCTCCCAATCCTGGTAGAAGTAGGAGTCCTAGTATGACTCTGATGCAAACCCTAGAAGAATTAGGGCCGTGGTAAGCTGTCTTACCAGTGTCCGAAGGTGATTCTGATTAAGAGAGTAACTCCGAGTAGGAAAGTGATTAGGAATAGGAAGCTGACCTTGAATGGGAGATTGATCAGGAGTATGAAAGTATTCTGAGGGGGTTGTGGGCTCTGGATTCGCCCATGGACCTAAGAAATGGACTGGGATTAGGAGGCTCGTGCCCACGTGGTTTGGGCTGGCTATATCTTGTACCGAATGGGCCTAATCTGGTTGAGTCATATCGGGATTGGGCCTGGCTTCTTCTTCAGTGTCGAGCCCGTTTTCCTATTCGGGTCAAGGACGATTTTTGGCCCTAACAAGGACGAAAACAAAAAGATGCACTCACTAAATAAAATTAAGAATACAAAAAGCTGTGGAGATTAATTAGCCGCATATATATATAAATATATTTATAATAATTAAACTGTTAGGCCAACATAGCCGTGATATTTATGATTGGTGGGCGACGTTAACCTATTATCACGATTACTTTTATTGTAGGCCATATATATATATATACTTTTTTGATATAAAAAGAATTAATTATAAATATTTACAAATTTTTTTCAAAATCTGAGGGTAGGCATGCTGGATCCGCCCCTGGTGTGTATTATGGTTATGGAGAAGCCTTGTGAATGGAGAATGTTTGCTAGCTTTAGCATTGGATTTATGTGGCCTTGAAATGGAAGAGGAAACAGAACCAATCTGCTACCCTTTCTTTGATGCATCTCTGTGTTGGTTTGATTCTCCATGGAGCTTTTTCTGCTTATGAATGCTACAACTTTGAAACTCGCAAGGTTGCTATTGGTTTGTGTGCATCTGAGAAAATTGGGTTTGCCCAAGAACTGTGTGGCCCTTGGATCACGAACTAAGCCTAAAACGTCCAGTACAGCAATTGAACACACAGCCCAACTTTTTTATGGGCCATGGCCGAACAGCTATCAATTGGTTATTGGGTTCATTTTTTGACCCGACAGCCATTGAAAAAGATTAGTTTGGTAATAGTTTCCTAATAGAAGAGGGTGGAACCTTGAAGAGATTTCATTTTATAACATTGCTGATGATATTGAATCTTAACTTTACCTAAGATTATACTTTAATTACTTATTCCAATCAAGAGAAATTTTGACTCTTTTTGATGTTGCATCCTTTGATGAACTTGTCCTTATGCATTGTTTTGATTTCTATTTTTATCTTATTAGCACAAATTTTCATTAGATATATCTTCGAGAAAGGTCACCAATCTTTTTCAATCTTTTCGCTACCAGATAATTCTTCATCTTCCTGAAACATCATGAACTGACTCAAATATTCTCGCACAGTACCATTTTCCTTCTCTATAAATGTACTTCAGCTTCCTCGACCCAACCAGACCAAATAACTAAGGAATTCATTTTCCAGCATCCAAACAACTCTACAAACTATCTCATNGGAAAACGTCCAATCACCTCAGCTCCAAAGGAAAAGACAAGAGCTTTTCTAGCTGTTTTTAAGTCAATACCACGTGCTTGAAAGTAGAAGAGTTGGCTTTCTTCTAGGTCACTTATAGCAGCTCCATGGGAGCACTTCACATCATCAGCAATAATCTGGAGATTGGGTTTTACATTTACGGTTGCACGAGGTTCAAGGAGGAGACTCCTCGTTAGTTGTCCAGCATCTGTTTGTTGTGCGTATCTGCATAATTCAAGTAGAGCTATAAACACCACAAATAGCATGACACTGACATCTTCAAAACTATCTTTAGACTATAGCAAACAAGATAAATGGACTAATAACTAATAGATAATTGATATATGACAATTAGCCATACAAATGCCAGACATTTCCTCTCCAGGTATTCATTAGCATCAATTTTTAACGAGTAATCCTATATCAGAAACCAGTAACTTGTAAACTGGAAAATAGAAATGCTGATAATTAGCAATGTGATCATATACCTAGATCACATAAAGTAAGGCACACGATCAAATAATGTTACCAAGTACCAAAATTACAATAAAAAGGGACATGCAACAAAATTACCTGTTGACCTTTACATTTCCATCGAAAACAGCTTGTCCTTGCGGATGGGCCACAATACACTTGTGAAGTTGTCGAGAATAACCTCGTGGATGATCGAAGACTAGGCTACTATGTAAATCTTGTGTTTGTTCAGTGACAGACAAATGAAATGTGGACAACTCTGTTACTGTTTCTGGGCCAAGTTGTTGAACATGGACATTGTGCCTGCTCAATTTTCCACCAGTGCTTACCTCTACAAGCTCATAAGTACTGGATGATTCCTACAAATGGCAAATTGATGAATGAATTTACTGCTGCTCAATAAATCACAGAACGTAAAGCTACAAAATGGTTTCAAGAATTGACAAGTAAAGAGACAGGTACTGAGGCTATGACAAGGGGAAGATTCCTATAATCAACTGACCACTTGCAAAGAACAACCTGAACATTTCCTCAGTCGACAAAACGGAGGCAACAAGACCAATCATGGACCCATACTTCAGTCCATTATAATTGATTCTTAAAATTAATTAACAAAGTTGCTTATATTTACAATTGCAAATCCTAAAAATAAAGGTATCGATGACTCCATAGAAGACAGCCTCTAAATGCAGAAATAATTATTTTAAAATATTACAGCATTTGTGCTGGTGTTTTTTATTCAAAAAATTCAAGAATTAGTCCGTAACAATGTTGCTGGTCCTTTTCCTTTATCACATATATGATTCTGCTAATGACTAAAGAGAATGAGAATCCATTTTTTTTCCTCTTTGACAGATAAAATTTCATACTAGCTCTCAACTAATCAAAGTAGAGCTGTTCTGCACCCCCACTCAAGTGAATTGATATCTTATGAATAAGAAAGCACATGGAGAGCAGTTATCATACAACCTATAAAATGTTACTCAAAATAAATGGAGCATTATTTATTGTTTTCAGAAACAGAAGATTTTTTAGAATGTTAATTGATTCTCTAGAAACTGTTTGCCAAGTTACTTTTCCAATTAAGAAAATGGTTTTTGGTATTTGCGAACCGAGCTGTCTTTACCAAACACACATTTGCATTTCTAATAACCTATTTACACCTTTAATTAATGCATTATTCAAATACCCCTACAAGCCTTAAAAGCATTTCTAGTCACAGACCAAAAAGTGTTGCTCATCTTTTCCCAGTATTGAACACAAAAAAATTAAAAGAATGCCACAAGTAGAGCAGAAGTTTCTGCAAAATAAGGGAAATATTACAAATTCCCTCTATCACTTAACATTACAATTAATAAAAGCTAAGCAGATGAAATAAAAAAGAAAAAGCGAGAAAAATATCTATTTCAAGAACATCCGAAACAGGGAATTGATATCTGAAATGGCAACAAATCATGAGCAGTTGTGTGGTAGTCAAGAAAATCACATTTCCCTTTCCCAGACCACAAAGCAATCATTTATACAATACTTTGGGAATGTTAGCCATCATCTAGAATATTGAAAAGATTATATAATTAATTAAATAAAACTGGACAAAGGAGCACCAAGAAAATTAGATGGTCTCCACTAAAAGAAGAGAGACTTCAGAAAAGCAAAACCTGAAAGCAGGTTCTAGACTTGGTCCTAGGTGAAACTACAGGATGAAGCTGACCATCGAGGTCTTCTTAAGTTGACATTCAGTATCCATTAAACTTACTAAAGCACGAACACAGACATAAATTGACCATATTACTATTTGTTTCATGTTCAATGCTCAATTTAACATTACAAAAATTAACAAAATTTAAGCCAAAAACATGTATCCTGAACTCACTTTCAAAGTCTTCTACAAACTAAACTGATTATCTATAGGCTCAAAGAAATTTAAGTCTTAGCAATACCAAGAACAATAACAAGAATTTACCTGCCTCACTGCTGTCCACTTGATATGAGCAGCTCTCAAAGACTGACTCTGGACATAAGAATGTCTAACTTTCCCTCCTCCTCCAATCACCACCTCTAAAACCGAATTCGCCCAATAACACGCATTCCCCTCTTTACCTTCAAACTCCTCTACTATACCAACCTCTCCTCCCTCCTCAACCAACACAAACACCCTCGGATTGGATATCGGCAACTTTTTCGACTCCTCATTGCCTCCCTCAACCGAAAAATACTTCAAATAAATCGGAATTTCTATCTTACATCCTGCAGGAACATAAATAACCCCTAAATCCGGTGCCCCCATCCCATTAATTGACCAAAACAAATCACCCCATTTAAAATCACCAATAAACTTACTTACCCTTTCCATAATTCTATCTGAAGCCCTTAGCAAACTACCTAAATATACTCCATCAGGCAAATTTGACAAATTCAACACAGACTCTTTTAAAAACCCATCAACAAAAATAAGATTGGGGAACTGGGTATCACCTGAAACATCCAAAGAATCAAGAAATTGCGCAGAGTGAGAAACGGGTTCAATTAGGGAACTTTTAATGAGAGAAGTGTCAGTGAAACGAAAAGGCTCATCTTTACGGGAGGGCCAAGGAGTAGAGAGGAGGGTTTGAGAGGACAAGTCTCTGAGTCTCTGAAGAGGAAGAGGCTGTGAAGAAGAAGGGAGAGAGTCTTCAAGAGAGTCAGCTAATTGAAGCACGAAAGGGTCAGAAAAAGAGGGCTGTGGAGGCGGAGTTACGAATGTTTGAAGCGAAGAAATTCTGAGTTTGTTGAGTTTTGGCTTTGGTTTTGGTTTGGGACTGAGTATGGGATTGACATGAACTTGAAGATGTGGCGTGAAAGACAATACAGACATCGATGGCCGATGATTATTCTCAGATTCTGCGATCAGAATTGTAATCTGAGAGTTGAGTTTTGTGAAACTTCAAGCTTAACTTGGTTTTGCCTTAGTATTTCTGTACAACGATGCCTATACAACAAGTGAACCAGGGTGCGCGTGTGCGCCACACGTCATGATGTGGCACATCCTCATTGGTAAGGATTTTTTTTTAAGTTTATCTTCTTTAATTAAGTTCTATTAAAATAAAAATGGAAAATTTATAACAAGTAAAAAAATGTGGCAAATGATATAATAGTTTCAAATTAATTTAACATTGTTTGCGATATAAAATTTATTATTAAATATTTACATTTTAAATGAAATTAGGTGCAACCATGTTTAAACAAACAATCATATATTAAATGACATTTGCATTAATTTTTCATATTAATTATGAATTATTTTAGTAAAAAAAAAAAAACATGGGCATTTAAATTGAAATTAGAATTAAAAACTGGTTGAATTTGGGCTTTCAATTTTTAGGCCATAAACTAGACCATAGGCCCAATGGACCCAACATTTGACACAAACATTTTGAGTCATTTCGCCCATGATAAGCTTAAACATTTTGGGCCATAAACTGCAAGTGAGAGTTTTGTTAGTGTATGTCCTAAGAACCAATCGTGTCGTCGGTTACAAGACATTATGTTTTGTATATATATGTTAATGTATATATTTTGTATATACATTTTATCTTATCAATAGAAGAAAGTGTTCTTATTTCACATGTGGTTTATTGCTTCATTTATATATATGTATTACATGTGAAATGTCTGGATGATATAAATCTTTAGAAGATCAAAATCATCAAAGTATTCCCTACATAGGTAATATTAATTGTGTAATAATATTACATAGTAGGCATGCTGAATGCCTCCGTAGAATATCATGTGATTGTATTAGTGTGGGTGATTATAAAAGTTATATCACTAGGGCATTAGCATGAATACGCGGTTAGTGAACTATTTATAGAATATGGTCATTTATGATGAATCACATGGACATTTAAAATGTAGTCAATGATTTATCATAAAATCGTACTAGTATATTATTAATCCTTAGACTTGAGATATCACGGTTGGATTCTGCATAAACGCATATGTTTAATGGTGTATAAACACGAGGCTAATCATGTCATATGTTAATAAGCCGATTTGGCTATGTGTTGTTTATGTGTGAGGACAAGTGATAGTCAAGATGAGATCCGTTGACTTGGTATAGATTGATATCAAGTTCCTAAACGAATGTCAAGATACATTGGAAAAGGGAAATCTCTGGCCGAGGTATATAAAATGTTACTTGAAAGGTTGTTTCATGGTGATACGTTCCATATGTATTGATTGTCAATTTGATATAAAATTAAGATAAAGATTTTGACATACCATGAATCTATTCTTAATTGAGATTAGACAACGGAAGGATTTGATTATACAGTGCGTATGATTATAAAAGGATTTGTTAGAGTATATCTTCATTGTGACTTAAGGGTTATGGAGCATTGCTAGATGCCTACCATAATCGGTGGGAGTTTTGTTCATAAAGATTTATGACAAAACATATCGAAATAGATTATGATATTGGGCCCACAATTAGGCCACAGTGAACCTAAGAGGTCATACATAAAAACTAAGGAGAATGGAGAAATAACAAAAAAGAGTTGATTATCCAAGGTTGGCTAGAACATACCAAGGGTAATAAAGTTATTTATATTATTATCATTGAATTAGATTCAATAGAGGGTTATATTAGTTATTATGAATAATTTAAGAGTTAAATTGCTAATTGGAATTCAATGGGATTCCAATTCATAATTAATCATTTTCTTTATATTAAATTGGATTTAATAATGGGTTGTAATTGTAAACATATGAACAATTTAAGGGTTAAATTGTTATGTAAACAATTTAAGAGTTAAATTGTTAATTGTGATTAAATGTTAATCCAATGTTATTATTTAAAGAAGTTTAACAACTTCATAATAATTATGAAATTATTTACAATTAACAATTATTGAATTGTTTACAGGGCTACATATATAAAGAAAATGATATATCAATTTTGAGATAGAGATAAAAAATTTCTAAGAACCCTAAATGTCTCTCTTGGCCTAATTCTTCTTTTACCTTAGTGTGGATACTCTTTTGTTTAATTTCTCTTGAAATTAAAAGTCTTCAAAGTTGCTAAGGACTTGAGGTAACAAGTTATACCTTACTTGTTTTCAATTTGATTGAATTTTTTTTCGCAAAATATGAATATACATGTTATAGTATCACATGCATCATTCTCCATGTATTCCATCCTACATTTTTGGCCATCGATCTTGTCAAAAATGACTAGATCGACACACAGTCAGCCAGATTAGGTTGGTCGTGCCTATTCCGATGATGGACGCCGACAGTAATTGCCTCTTCCAAGACTTGAATACAAGACCCCTGAATATAACTAACTCTAATGACTAAAGAACTGGCCATTCGGCCACAAGAGGAGAGGTAATTTTTATTTCTGAACAATGTTCTTGATGTTCAATGGGTGCATTCTCTGGAGGTTGCACTCAATTCTTTACAAAAAATCTAGCGTCGATAAAAGCTTCTATTTTTGGATTTTCCAGATCTTTAATAGGTACACTTCAGGGACTTAGCGAGTGACTTCGATACACACAGCCCTCCTTTCGCTTTTGCTCTGTTTTGCTCTGTTGTTTTCTCTAGTTTTTGGTCTTTAGTTTCTTTATATATTTTGAGGTGGCAAAAAATGAATGGAAGAGTGAAACAAAAAGTCAAACTCATTAAGTTCACTCTTTCATTCATTTTTTGCCACATTACTTTGTATGAAGATTTTTATAAATTTTCTTTGTAAGCGTAGTATTATTCATAGTCTTTAACATCTTAAAGGAAGTGTAAATCCTCATTCCCATGATCATCCATCATTGCTATAACATTCTAAGTTAATGCAAACAATACATCAACACTTCTAATGGTAACCATTCAACACCATATGATCTCCAATACTATAAGTTTTGCCACAATCAACATCAACACTTCATTTTCTTCAATTAAATATAACAACTCATAAAACATAAGTGACAATAACTTCACGTATAATGAATAGAATTCAAGACAATAAATAAAATTAATTAGTTCAACTGCACTTGTCATCAACTAGTTCTATGTTTTAAAGCATTAATTTGAGGTTTTATTAAAATCTACAAACCCTAGCATAATCCTTATAGTCATGGGAGGTTATTTCTTACCTTTTTAAAGAATTCCCCTACCAAATCCTTTGCCTTTATCTTTTTTTACACCTTAATCCTACATATATAACATTATACCTCAACGTCTACCTCAAATCTTCAAATAACATCAAAACTAGGGTTTTTAATCCTTACCTTAAACTCTTCAATTTGAAGATCCAAGGCTCCTATCTTGTTCTCCTTGAAAAAATTATGCAAAACTCCTTTGAAACTTATAGAGAGAAAGCTTATTTCATAGAGGATTTGAGAGAAAATGGAAGAAAAGTTGAAGAAATGATGTCTCCTCTTGGCTTGAATGAATTTTCCTCTCATTTATAGGAAAATATTTCATTACTTTTCCAAAACTATGCTATCGGCCCAATTATTTTAATTGTATAACTCATAAGTCCTTAATTCTTCGCATAAGGGTATTTTGGTAATTTGGCACTAAACATAATCATTACTTAATTAATGTCTTTAAATGCAATTAAGCCTACCCATCCTTGACTTTTGCAATGCTTATCTACAGGTAAAATGATTATTTTGCCCCTAATACCTTTTTATGGATAATTGATTCATACCGTTCCAAATGAATTGACTATTTTGCCTTTAGTTAGATTTTATGCTTTTTAACATAAAATTAACATCTAAATGACTATTTTGAGTTGGGAACATGCCTTTGACATCTTGGGTATCACAAAGACTCATTGCGAGCTGACTAATTATGAGCTGACGCATCGTATTTGTAAGAGAAAGTTAGTGAGAATGGCTTGTTGGTGTAGTATTACTGCACATTTTTGGATGAAATCAACCCTATTGACAAATCCCTAAACTTAAAGAAAAAAACCCATGCTTTAACTCTAAAATCCTAGGTAAAGACTCGTTTTTGTGATATGAAGAAACTGTTGCTGGATGGCTTTGAGCAATATATTAGGTTATTAAAGGGTTTAAAAGAGAGAAGAGGACAATTATACAATTTGAAAGTTGTTCCAAATAATAAATCATTGTGTATGTTAAATATATGTGTATGAAATATGTTTCATAAACTATTTTTTTAATGAGTTGTTGTTTTCATGGTTGTTTAAGCTTACACTAGTCTTTAGATGTTGAAAATGGGTGGCCTTTTTTTTTTTTTTTTTTTTTTACAAATCTAGGTATGGGTATTGGCCAATATGGGAGGATTTAGATGAAAAAAGGATTGGAGGTTGAAGACAAGTTTTGTTCGACACCTACTATTTGGACACATTCGGTTGGATTCGACCAAGGTAAGTTCTACCCAAATGGAAAAATCCTATCGAATGTGTTCAAATAGGAGGAGGGTGTCTAACAAATCAGGCCAATTGTAGCTTTTTTAAATTTGTTGAATTTGTTTGAATCCTATGGTGTTGGCTGATTTCAATCTTATTCAATACCATAAATTCGAAATCATTCGAACAGATTTAGTGTGCATTGGCCGAATTAGTCTAACTACGTCCTAAGACCTATATATTACTCCCTCTGTTTCGAAATAAAAGTCATTTTAAGTCATTGCACGCTTTTTAATAAACTAATTTTTTAATGTAAATTTTTTTTCCCTTTGCTCCTCCCTCTGAAAGTGTGTGGGGAAATGGAACGAAGAAAAAGCAATGATGATTGATGGAAAAGTTGTGTTAAATGGCTTTTGAAAGAGAAAGAGAGAGAGAAGAGATGAGGGGTGAGGGAAAGAGAGAGAGGAGACAGGGGCATACTTCGAGAAAGAGAGAGAGGGTTGCATTTGGCCAAACAACATTTATTTTGGAAAAAAATTATAAGGCTAAAACGACTTTTATTTCAAAATAGAGGGACTACTT